AATTTCCAATTAGCGCCCAAGAACTATGAAATAATTATTTTCAGTATGTGTACGCAATTGCACTTTGTTTTTGATTTCCTCAAGAGTAACCACAAAGTGCGCAAAATTCATGCGATTAGTGCAAGGAGACCTCAAATTGAGACAAGGTTCCCTCTACTTTTCGCTTATGAAAATTGTGGTTGAAAGTACAAATGAAGTCAAGATCTGAGGAAACCGACAATCGAGAAATTTTGTTCTCGTACATCAGCAAAGATTTACATCATGTTTAGCGAAAAGTGACGACAAAACGGAAAGAGCATTTTTCATTTACTTAACAAATAACTTCCCTTTGATCGTATACTACAAGCGGAACAGTATGATGTTCGTACTACTCTGCAAATTCTTGAATGAAACACGATTTACAAGTAAAATATTTATTCGCAATTTGTCATAATAACAGAGATACTGTAATTTTGCTTTGCCTTACCTGGTCTGATTTGCTATTTACCTAATAAATTGGGGATTCACGACAATAAAAAAAAGTTGTACTTTGAATTTTTACAGATATGCCTATCTTTCTATGGTGAAGAGTATTACTGGAATTGCGCTCCAGAAAAGGACTACCGTATACGACTTTGTCCTAATGATACCAACGCCTCAGTACCTAGCCTTTGTTACTGCCGTGATGAATATTGTATAGAAGTAGAAAATCAAGTAAAGGTAAATTTGGGATCGGGGAGTTGACGATAAAGAGACTCTCAGATTTATTCAGATTACTGGCCGGTGGCCTCTGACACTTTCGGTGACTGACTGTGATAATTCGACTAATTGTATGTGTGTATCGCCGCACAGTATGGACTCCTCAATGACTTCGCCTTCATATTGCGCGCGTGTTTCAAAATGGCAATATACGTATTGTAATGGATGCGATTGGTGGGGCAGGTAAGAAACAATATAATGCCCAGAGAGATACAAAAGCTGTTACAAGGCTAAAAATTAAGATTTTTAGGTGTGCCCGATCATTTGGTCTCACTGGCGAACAAGAATGTATATGTGATGGTGACTCGTATACAGAGTGCTTTGCGGTAGAATCTGCAGCAAAGCATCACGAACATGTTGGAGATGCGAAAAATAAGAAACAGGTATGAGAAAAAAGCTACTCTTTTGGAAGTGATATTAGAATTAGATATGAAGAATTCAAACTTCCCCCAGTGTGAATGCTTGGCTGTAGCAGATGACATGTGCCTCCAGATCTCAAAAATTGAAGGCAGTGGCTTGGGAGAATCGCGATTGAGGGCTTTTCACAACTACATGGCCTTTTAGACCGGCTGAGTCAGCTACTGTGCGTGAAATGTCAAAAAAATGTTTTTTGGAGTTTACCGGCCTTGCAAATTGCGAGAGGCGGGGCGAGGGATTCCCGCCATAACCAGCAAGTGATGCAGGATACTGTAACTTCACCTATTTTGGTGGCAATTGGCTGATCAGTCCAGGCAGTCAGTACGATACAGTTCACGGGAATCCCTCGCCCCTCCTCTCCAGCAATCTCCAAGGTTGTAAAACGCCAAAAAAGCACTTTTTGACTTTTCAAGCACTTTACCTGACTCAGCTGGTCCAGAAGGCCATGTAGTTGTGGAAAACCCGCATTCGCGATTTTCCTGGCCCACTGCCTTCAAGGCGATTAAGGCATTCTTCTTGGCGCTAAATTACCTTTACGGCAGTAATGACAGAGTTTGCGGGGTGAGGCCTCCAAATTCGAGAAAGGGAGGTGTTGCTGCAACCCCAACCTCGAGAAAATCACCTGATTTGTCTTGAAAATCTTACAAATTATTCAAGTTTAGGAGAAAGCAATTTTGCACATTTGAACAAAAGGCTATCTTCAACTCTCATTTTCTTATACATTTATTTTCTTGTCTGCCGTGTTAAAGTTTCGGGTCACACAATATTTAAAAAAGTCAGAAAGCATAGAAAAATATTGAATTGTCTCAAGAGTTCCTTCGTTTTATGTTTGAAAATTTGTGATTTTTCGATACTTTGACGAATCTTTCCTGTGATTTTACTAGAAAAAAAATTTTCTCTCTTTGCCAAGAATGTGGAAAATCACAGGAACCGAGATCGTCAGTTGGGTTTCATTACCTGCTCTTTACAACGGAAAAAAAAAAGTTTGTGCTGTTTGCACGATACTGCGAGAAGTTATGAATTTCGATCACAATAAAATACGCCAAAATCAGTATTTTCACTGCTTCATTTTTCCTCATTTGCAAAGGGTAATTCATAATAGAAGAATGTTAGCATTGATAATATACAGTATGGCCTGTTTCGCCTCTACCCCTATACAGGTATCAAGAAGAGTAGACCACTCCCGAGGCTCTTCAGTAGGGAAGAGTGGCTTGAATGGAAGACTAATGGTTTGGCCTTGGGTGTTGCTGTATTTATACCTCAAGGTTTATATACCATTCGGGTAGAGCAAAATAATTATGATCCACGATCTGAGACATAAAAATCAAGTTTTTGAATTATGCACTTTATAAAATGTTTAAAACTTATGTACTGACGATTTCAGATTTTTCAGTAATGTGCCTGATTTTTGTCGACTTATCAAAATATTCAAAACCTGAATGGTCTCATTTTTCTAATTCTATCTCTGCAATGCGTGTGTAGCATACTTATCAAGACACTCTCACGAAGTGGAGAACTTCTCCTTTTCACTGAAATCACAAAAAAGCAAGTCCGTCGAGATATCGATAAGCTGAAAAATTTCATAAACGAAACGACAAAACTTTCGGGACGACCTAATAACTTCTTCCCTGGAATCGCGAAATAGCAGCTAGAGTGACCACCGCGTCTTCTGTATTTCTACTTGTCAGGTACGAGTTCGTCGAGCCAACCCTCGCATTGTTGAGAAGGCTTACAACCAGTACGAAGGTTTGATGGCTGTTCACTCCGCATGTAAATGCGATAAACGTCAATGTAATGCAATCAAAGAAAAGGTATAAACTAAAAGAAAATTCCCATTTTCATGCAATTTACCATTTAAATTTTAGCCATCCGAATTAGAAGCTTGTATATGCTTTTATGACAATAGACAGCCGAACAATAAACCATGGCCATGTTACAAACAGGAACACTGGGAAGAGAAGAAATGCTCAGCGTAAGTATCACAAAACGTAAATCAAAAAATCTGATGCTAAAGTATAAATTTACGAGAACAGGCTAATCATCTCGAGTTTAAGGTTTTGGTGGTGTCCATATTTATCCTCTGGAAAATGCGAAAACCTCTACAAATAAGTTTTTGATCTTTTATTGAAAAAAAGCTAGATTCATGGAGGAACCAAAGGATACAGAGTTGCTCACTTTGAGATGACCTTAAAGTGAAAAATTGGATTAAATTTATTCGATGTCTCACTCTCGTCTTAACAGGTGCCGCGCATTTGGAAACTGTGATTATTCCGATAATCCCAAAGCTCCCTACGACTGCTACTGCGTGATGGAAATAAAAATGTGCGTCAGGATCAATATTGCTGAAGGAAATGGTACCGACGTTTGTGAGTGCAACATCTTCGATTGTATATCTCTCTGAAAGATGGCTAGGAATAATCCTATGAGCCACAAAAGGTTGATGTTTGAGCCTCACGAATTAACACTTTACTTACAGCCGAGCGACTTGTGAAGTTTTGGGAGATACAGCCTAGCACAACAATGTCTCCAGTACAGAAGAAGAAAAAGGATCGAGAGAAAGCTTATGGCTATACGGTTTGTTACTTAAATCAAGACACTAGTTTTAAGAGATAACAATTTGGCATGCTGTTCGTAAATCCTGTGTATTCTAGTCGGTAACACATTAGAGGTGTTTTTATCATAAACTAAATTAGGTACAAAACAAACAAGTCAGACTACTGTAAAAATAGGCACAGATTACAGACCAACAATTATTCGAGTGAAGAAAAGTTGAAGAAAAGTTCTCTAGTAGACTGACACCTTTTCTTTGTGAAAAAAGGGTAAAATACGAAGCAAATTTTAACGCCAAAATTACTCGAAACTTTTTGAATAACTTTATAATACAGCCATCAAATAAGGCATGTTACAATTTTCGTCGCTCACATTGCTTTTTATATTGAAGTAAAAAAAGATTACCTCACTCTATGACATCAAAAAACCTACTCCAAAAGTCAAAAGCTGAACAATTATTTATTTTCGACCTCACTTCATATGCTACATGTGCCAGAAAATCAACAGTTTGTTTTATAGGTTATATGGATTGATTTCAGAATTTGAAATCGGTGTTGTTATTTTTATTTCTCATGATGTGCAGGTAATTACACAACGCCAAGTTGGTATTCACACGTTCGAGTTTTTTTTTCAAGAATGTGGACGAACTTTTCGAAGAAAAGGATTTTTTTAGGGGGTAAAGGACACTGTCGCCTTGAAAGCAAAAGCCACGGAAAACATCATTTTCGCAGTGGACCAGCTGACCGAGGAAGAGAAGTGGAATATTAGCTACAGTAAATCAGAGTTCATCACTAAATGCTCCTTTAATGGAAAGGAATGCAACGTGGAGAAGTTAGTCGAAGGAGTTTTCAAATGCTGTCGAGATGATACTGTGATTCAGAGACTTTGAGGCCTATCTGGATCCCACTTACGGTGCCTGTTTCACTTATGTAGGAAGTCGTCGAGATAACAAGAGTAACGATAGGGCCGGACCAGCGTACGGTGTGCGAGGCTATTCAAAGCCCTTGAAGGAGTGGCTTGGGAAAATTGCGAATGCAAGCTTTCTACACCTATATGGCCTTCTGGATGCGCTGAGTCCAGTGCTGTGCTTAAAAGGAAAACTGTTTTTCACGTCGTTTTCCTACCGTCGAGATAGCTGGAGGGGATGGTAGAGGGATTCCCGCCGTAAGGGTAGGCCCTTCTGAACCTGCCCCAATCGCGACGGCTATAAGAGGTCAGCGCTAATTAGAGGTCACACCATAATTGGCTAGCTCGCGGGAGCGAGCAGCTGACCTGGGCAGACGCGCTGCGGAGGCGGACGAGTTTCACATTGCTGGTAACCTACTCCACAATGAGATTCTGGAAGTAATCTTCTAGAAAATTCCTAATTCCCCCAAATTTCCTAAAATTCAATAACTTAAGTTATTCGCTCTAGTCTACACTACCTAAATCGCCGGCTACTTTCCAAGGTGGTATGTTTTTGACCTATGCGATGTTTTCAAGTCTTTTTCTACTTATTTTACTGTTTTTTTTAGTTCGATTGCTTGCTCTACTCTCCTAGGTCTTTGTGAGTTCGCTTGCATATTCTACTCTCCTACGTTTGCCTCCTTGCAGCATCATCTAGTCACATTCAATCAAAATGTGCACTACATGCATGCCAATCGGGAAGCATACGTTTTTTTTATGATGAGATTTTAGTTTTTTTATGAAGTTTTTCTCACACCGTCCATATCGAAAACGCAATCAAATAAAAGTGCATCACCTTCATTTGGTAGCATGATCTACATGGATTGATTTTGGTAGCGACCTTTTCTTTGCTGCACGCATCATGCTTTTTGAAGCGTAAAAATTTCAAATGCACGTTCGTTTTTACTAGGAATGAGAATTTTAAGGAGATGATAATTTTCTTGGAAAGCTACAGAGATGCACTGAAATGTCAGAAGGAAATACGCATTTGATAACGAATTAGCGTAGATCACAAATTTAAGTTATAATTAGCCCTTATAAAGAGTTGTTACACAAACTTTGATTACGTGGGCTTTCCTCAATAACATCAAGCAGCTCACATTAGCAATGTGACGATGCACGAGGTTATAAGGATCGCACACAATGGGATATAAGTGGAAAAAAGCAAAAAAAAAACAAAGTTCGAAAGAATTCAAAGGAGATTCATGAGAAGATTTTTTATGAATCACGATGAAAAGACTTTGGAAATGTTCCATAAATCATAAACATACCTGCTTGGAAGTAGGGAATTCATAAACATACCTGCTGGGAAGTATTCAATTTTAATTTCATTCAATTTCTGAGGGCTCAGAATACCAAACACTCAGAGGATGGTAGCTGTGTTTGGTTGAAATCAGCGTGGTTGGCTTGCATTCCATAGTGCAACAGCCGCACGAAAGGAGTTGGTGATTTTCGAAAATAGGAGCTTCGCGGAGCACTCGTGCGCAGTCATCGCAGCGCATGCGCGAGCGTCCTAGTTCTAGATTACTGTAGGGGACGGTGGGTTCAGAAGGACGGTCTCCCCCGCCGTAAACTGCGACTGGCGCAGGAGACTGTAACTCCACCTATTTTGGCGGTAATTGCCTGATCGGCTCAGGCAGCCAATTGCTGTGTTGGCGAGAATCCCTCGCCCATTCCTTCCAGCTATTTCCAGGGTAGGAAGACGGGTAAAAAGCACTTTTTTGACATTTCAAGCATAGCACTGGACTCAGCGCATCCAGAAGGCCATGTAGGCGTGGAAAGCTCGCAGTCATAATTTTCCCCAGCCACTGCCTTTAAGAATACTATGACAAAGTTTAAGTTCTCTTTAGGTCTACGTATGGAAACGTTCGTGAACATTACCGAATATTTGCCGACGACAGAAGCAGCAGGAGTTCGTATCACAGTGCATTCAATTTCTGAACAGCCTTTTCCGGATACTTTGGGACACTCAGCACCTACTGGTTTCGTTAGTAGTTTCGGTATCAAAATGGTGAGTACTTGCATATTGCAGAAATTGGAATTTAAAAACTAGGCCACCGAATAAGCTTATAACTCTGCTCATTGTCAAAGCACCTTGAAATTACTATATCAGAATTCCATTTCTACGTTCATTCGATTCAGAGGCTACTCTAATAGCGTTTTGACAAAGCGAAAGGAGCTGCAGACTTTTAAAGCATTCCTCAGGCGACATGGTGGCGGAAACTGTACTCGAACAAGTATAGGGGGCATTCGAAAAATTGTGACTATGGTACGACCGCGCGCGACACCCACGTATTTCCTACAATCGCAATTTCTTGGTTTTCATCTCTACTCGAATGGTTTTTTTGCTTACATATGTTGATGGGGTACAGTGACGGATCCTTACTAATTCCAATTCTTGTTGCAAACCTGGATTTGAAGCAAGAAGACCCGCTTCGGAAGATTCATGCGGCAGAGCAGTTCCGCCCATTAGCGTGAGAAGTCCGAAGGTGCTGAGACCTAAAGGGTCCTCAAAGCATTTAGAAATGTCAGATGTCTTTGACCATTACGTTCACATAGCTATGGTTGCCAGGAACTATAGGCTGGCTGCATGGCGAAGACATCTTTAGGCGCGAACGCGGCTATTACCGCAGAGCGCATTAGGGGCAGGATTCCCAACGATAAAGGTACGCGCGCGTCTTATTCGCACCCGCTTAAAGGCAGTGGCTCGAGAAAAGCCCGACTGGGGGCTTTTCAGAACTAAATGGCCTTCCGGACCAGCCGAGTAAGGTATTATGCTTGAAATGTCAAAAAATGTTGTTTTTTTTGGAGTTTATCGATCTTGCTGGATTGCTTGAGAGGCGGGGCGAGGGATTCCCGCCATAACCAGCAAACGACTGCAGGATACTGTAACTTCACCTATTTTGGCGGCAACTTTTCAACTCCCTGGATTCAAGCTTCGTAATAAAAAGTTTGGTTTGGAAAGCCTAGAAAGAAGAAGGAAAAAGTTTGATCTCATCATACCACACAAAATATTATTTGGAGGCTGTGAACTGAAATCAAGCGATTTTTTTTGAACGCAGAAACTTAATAACTAGAGGTGATCCTAGTAAAATCGTGCTCATGAGAACGAGGAGGAATGTGAGGAGGAATTTTTTCGTTAATAGAGTTAGCCACGACCTTGATAAACTCATCAGAATGAAAATGCTTCCTGTAAAGCTTTCTCGATTCAAATCTGTTCTCGAGAACTACCTATTTTCTTCCTCTGAATCCCCTTGATTAATCTTGTCGCATGTTTATTCTATTTTGCCGAGCGATTCATAGTTGTTGTGTGTTTTTTGGTGTTCTTTGTTATTGTTTGCGTACTTTGTTAACATAGGTTACTATCCTATGCAATAAATAATAATAATAATAATAATAATAATAATAATAATAATAATAATAATAATAATAATAATAATAATAATAATAATAATAATAATAGTAATAATTGGCTGATCAGCCCAGGCAACCAATACGATACAGTTGACGAAAATCTCTCGCCCCGCCTCTCCAGCAATCTCCGAGGTTGGAAAACGCCAAAAAGCACTTTTTTGACTTTTCAAGCACAGTACCTAACTCAGCTGGTCCAGAAGGCCATGTAGTTGTGGAAATCCTCCACTCGCGATTTTTCCGAGCCACTGCCTTTAACTAATGCTGCTTCTGCGCCTTCGTTCTGCAACAGCCTCTGGCTTTTGCGATAAAAACTAACAAGGTGACTTGTTCAAAAACACCTACTTCCGTATTGCAGAAATCAATGACACGTCTTCCAGCACCTTATGGTGATTGCGTTAGCGAAGGGAAAGATGCTGATTTTATTTTTGTGGATAAACAGTACAGTACTGAGGTAATGTCAAATTTTAATCACTCCAAATCTCAGATAATGTGTTCTTTTCAGGGCTGCCAGCGTAGTTGTATTCAGCGACATTTAGCTAAAACGTGTGAATGTGGTGATCCACGCTTCCCACCGTATAGAAACACTAAAAACTGCCCTGTGGATGATCCTGATAAAAGTGAGCTTACATATCTAGATTCGAGCGATGTCGAGGGATAATACAATACCGCTCGTAATTTGTGAAAAAAAATTGGCGTCGGCTGCTTAACTCAGGCGGCGGCCACCGAAGTTAGGCGACAAAGTTTGACGGCGGGCGCCTAACATCAGGCGGCCGCCGCCTAACTTCTCTAGAATTCGTCGAAATACCCTTATCTCGACTCAAAGTTTATGAATTTTATATCTAAGAGACCATTCGCCTCAGCTCGGCGAGACGCATCTTCCAATATATGGATGTGTCACAATTTACGGGATACGGTAGGTATACATTAGTTTTCAAAAATTAGATTTTTGTTCGGATGGGTTACTCAGTGCTAATAACATTTACATTCATTCGCTGTTAGTGGCACTTTGTGTGAGTGCAGTAACAATGAAAGTCACTTCGCACGGATGCGTTTGAAAATTTGCTCAGAGTGGCTATGTGATGCGTTGATTGCAATGTTTATGCGCAAGGTATTTGCAGCTGTATATGTGCGCCCGCACAATGCGCGGAACAAGACCACACTACTAAAAACTCATCAGTACCTTTTCTGATGGAACAAACTGCGAAAGCGTGTACTATTACTCAATACAATTAAACCAAAAGAGGACAGACTGTAGGAGAAATTCTAAGAAATCAGTAGCTTTCAATCTTATGTCGTAGCGAGGTGGTACAGGGCTTTTCAACCTGAGAGTCGCAAGTTTCGCTTGCGCGGCTCCTCCAACGCGGCCGCCTCGCTCAGGCCGCGCGCGGCGTTTGCTGCGTATCGCCCGGATTTTGCCAAGCTTCAGTCGACGCGCAGCCAGCGCCACGAAGGCTTCGCGGATTTAAGCGTGGCGTCCTAGCGGGGCGGGTGGGACACTCAGGTTGTAAAGCCCTGTATGTAGTATGCATACTGACAAGGAGAAGATACTCAGTCGAAAGCACCAATCCAGATGAGACATATATAATCTTAGAGCTCTTGAAACGCTGATTCCAAACCTGCAGTTTCTAGCTACGGAGCGGTTTTGTAGAGGGAGTTATGAGGGGTGTTTCCTCTGGGATTGAGGCGCCCTCCACCAGGTCTCCTTACCTATGAGCACTGTAGAGGAGTACCAACTGGTGGCAACTGACCTAGTGGCAAGTGACGTGCTTGATAAAGAGAGTGTCAAGGTTTTAATCCCCCTCGCATGCTAAATTGAACTTCTAGATGGCTTTAGAGCCCTAAAGCATGAAACCTCTGATGATATTGATACCAATCGAAGCTAGAAGTGTGAAAAAAAAACAAAAGTAATATGAGTATTATAATCTTTACTGTAATATTCATTCAACTTACCATTAGGTCAGTTGCCATCAGCTGATACTCCTCTACAGTGCTTACAGATAAGGGGAGACCGCTGGAGGGCCCCTAAACCCTAGAGGGAACACCCTTCATAACTCCTTCTACAAAAGCGCTCCGCAGCTAGAAACTGCAGATTTGGAATCAGCGTTTCAAGCGCTCTAAGATGATATATGTCTCATCTCGATTGGTATTCGACTAAGTATCCTCTCCTTATGAGTTACAAATGAGTTAACGACACATTCATTTGCTGCAGATGGCACAGTGCAACAGTGGCGTACCCAGGATTTCGGCTCGGTGGGGGGCGACAAAAATTTCTTCTAATAAACGTGCGTGGCATCAGCCACGCACTCCGAAAAAATTTTTGGAATGTTTCTCAAAATTTTTCTGGGCCCCTAACCCCAAACCCCGAAAAAAATTTTAATTTTTGAAAATTATTCTAATTATTTACAAGTAAGAACAAGTCCTCTGCACATTTTTGTAACACATTTAAGTAACTTTCAAAATTTACGCCGCTGCAGTGCAGGGATACAGTCGGAGAAGGATGTAACGTTATACTCGGATATGTCTGCAAGATGCTCCGGCGCTCTCCATAAATAACAACTGATTCCTGTCATGACGTCATCCTATAAGAAATCAATTGATTTTGAGGCATAGCACGTGATTTAGCTGTATATAGGGATCACAATTTTTGTGTGGACGTGTTTTCGTGATGGTATAGCGGGCGCATGTTGTACATAAGGAGCTTTAGTAAGTATTTCTTGGTAGAGCTATGCCCATATATCACCCCCGATAAAAAATTACACGTAGGCTCCTTTCCAAAATTGAGATAATGGCTGGTGAATTTCGGAGATTTGCAAGGTCCACGAGCAGATTATTCGCCACAAGTTTGCAGCAACATTTAAAAGCTAATTTGGCACCAGTACTTTGACTTGCATGCTATTTTGAGTAATTCTTTTACATTACGTTTTGATCTTAGGTCTCAATTACGTTCTACAGACCATAGATGCGATAGGGGGAGCAGGGTCCCGTCCAGGTGAAGGGGGTTTTGGCTATTTCTGACTCAGAAAAGTGAAGGGGGTAAGCGAACCTGAACTGAATGCTGACGCAAGCTTACATGTCCAACGGGAGCGGGAGTAAAAAGAAGGAAAATAAGTGGTGTAGAGATGCAATTTGAAGATTTTCTCAATGCTCAGGCTTTGAAAGGTCATCCAACAGAGACATTTTGACTCAGGAAAGCTTTATGTTTCATCAGTCAACACACCATTCGAAAGCTTGGAACATACAGAATCGACGTAGACTGTCTCTTTTTTCCCAGCTTACCTGTGAATTCAGACATAAAAAATCATATCTAGTTCTAGCATCAGCTGATTTTATGCAATCACTTTAAGCTCCATTTCTGAAAGAAAGAGGAAAGCTAGGAAAAAAGAGACGGTCTACGTTTACTGGCAAGGCCTTGCTCTGTGATACTGTTAGAAAATCAGGCACCTTCATTTTTCACGCAGAAATTTCTTGACAAAAACACACATGTTTTTAGCTAAAATGCCATGTATCTCTAAAAGAAGGGGAGCTAGAGAAAAAAAGACGGTCTACGTCGAATCCCTTTTTTTAGCTTTCTAATGGTATATAAATTGTTGGGTGAAAGAACTTGTGGTTTTTCAAAAATGAGATGGAGATATTCAATACTAACTTCCTCCACCCCGCTCCGGCTTTCTATGGGTCGCCGGAGCAAGACTTTTTTAGACTGGGAAAGCTTTCTACACCAACATTTTATATACCATTCGATAGCTAAGAACACAGGGAATCGACGTAGACCGTCTCTTTTTTCATAGCTTTTCTGTGAAGCGAGATACGAGCAGTTTTATCTTGCTACAAACCAAGAAGGTCTTTTTCGAACTTTTTTATATGATTCGAAAGCTTGAGAAACGAGTAATCTAACTGCACTTTTATTTGTTATTATTCTCTCTAGTGAAAGGAGATATGGTACGATTCTTGTCATGCATCCATCACTAGCTAGTCCAGATTTTCTACTCTTGCTCAACTCTTTCTTGCGACAGTGTGCGTTCATTGATACAATGTTAATTATTCAAAGAATTAAACATTCTTTAAATTTTTGATAATGTTTCGTTATCAAGGCCACTTTCAACAAAACGCTGACAAAAAGTGCCGTTGTAACAGCTGTTTGATTCGGCCGTTATGCCTTGATTCTAGTCTCAACCTCGGGTGAAAGGGGTCAGCCAGATGCCGGCTCTAATGTGAAGGGGGTCAGAGAAATTTCTCCGTCTATCGCATCTATGCTACAGACTGGTTTTTGTAAGGGCGCAGCTCAAGGCTCTCTGCAGGTAGAGAATTGAGCGTCATGGGCGTCATCCGAAGAGCAGCTTTCCGATTATATCAACCTAACAACGCCCAAAAATTCGTTGATATGAGGGCGAAAATGGCTAGCAAACTTTGAAGAAGCAATTACCTGAATCATGTTTACCGTAACCCTAAAGCAAGAAGCTATCTTGCAAATCAAATGCGATTTTCGTAATGAGCATGTCGGACAACCTTCATGGGTAGATTTTCCAAGGAAGTCGCGTCATTTGATGTTTTCTCGTTCTTCGCTCTGCTTGCCGCAGGTTTTGGTTGAAATACTGATGATCTTGGATTGAACTGAAACTTCGCTCATAAAGGTTTTTTTCACCCACTGCTTATGAAAAACCTACTATTTTCGCAGTAAAGATTTTCACACTAAAGTTATACTGAGAAGGATGTAGTTAAATCTTGCAAGGTGGCAAATTCGCCCGCACATTTTGCCCATCCATGGATGAACCTGCTTCGTGGTATCTCTAGTTTAGAGTCTCCTAGCTGGCTTACCCGGCTCCGCCCGGCCCTGTCAAAACACTTTAGTAAAGTCTCATCCCTATCCCTCTGTACAGCCTTTCCCTGCGCCCACTTCTACACTTCAATTCCCTTTCCCTGTTGTTTTCGAAAGCAGCATGCCCACTTACCCCTCTGTGCCAACTCCCAGCCCTTCAGCTCAAATTTTGAAAAATCGATAAAGTCGATAAAAGCATTAGGTAGTACCAGAAACTAATATTGTATTCGCAATCAGCATGCTCGATTACCCCCCCCCCCCCCCTGTGTCAACTCCCAGCCCCGTAGCTCAAACTTTTCAAAAATCGATAAAATCGATAAAAGTAATCGATAATCCTGAAAACTAGTATTGTATTCGCATTCCCATGCTCACTTACCCCCTGTGCCAAATCCCAGTCCCGTAGGTGAACTCTGCAAAAAAATCGATAACAAATTAATAAAATCGATATCGACTGATGACGAAAAGTAGCCTATGACACCCGCCCCGCCCCGAAGTGTATGTGTGCCAAGTTTGGTCCGGATCGGTTCGGAAATGGAAGTTTCTATTCGGAACATACGTACACACAGACAGACTTTACATATAAGACTAGCGACCCTACGGGTTGCTAGCAAGCGGGTTAGGGCAGACCCGTAGATAAATGCTGTTTCAAACCTACAATTTTCTTGAGTGAATCTTCAAATTATCAGTATAGCCCGCTGCATGAAGAAGGCGAGTATCTTTGGGCGCGAATGCGGCTTTATCAGCCGCAGAGCGCATCAAATGCGGGATCTACAACGGTGAGGATACGCGCGCGTCGCGTTCGCGCCCGCTCAACTAATATCGCTCTATTGCGCCTTCGTCATGCAGCAGCCTTTACCTATTTTCAGGTGTATAAGCCGCACCCTTTTTGCTCTAACCGCGAACAGACAAAGGCGTGCCGCTGCGCATGTGCCTCGCGAAGCGGTCGTTTTCTCGCACATTGCTCTCACCTAACGCGTTCGTAACAGGCAGTCTTTTGACGTGTGCGCCTTTAGGCTGCGTTCATAGATCCCTAAATTCGGGAACAGTTCCAGCACAATGCTCAGTTCGAGCGTTGTGCTAGAACTGTTTCCGAACTCCGGAATCAGCATGAACGCAGCCTTAGAGTGAAAAGGGTGCGGCTTACCTGAAAATAGGGTATATGTATTGCCACAACGGCTCAAACGTAACATTTACGGAGATTTTCTCAAAATTTGGGCGGAAAGTGGACCATATCGCTCTAAAATATTGTTTTGCCCCAATAACCGTCGTACAACTCCCTTTCGCAATGTCATACTCGCACTCACGCTTACATTCTGGAGAGAAAAATCGAATTCACCCAGAGCAAAAGCTCCCAAAAGCGAGATTTTCAGAATTTTTCTCAAAAGTCGGGCCTAAAAATTTGGGCGGAAAGTGGACCATATCGCTCTAAAATATTGTTTTGTCCCAATCACCGTTGTACGACTTCCTTTCGCAATGTCATACTCGCACTCACGCTTACATTTTTGAGAGAAAAATTCGAATTCGCCAGAGCAAAAGCTCCCAAAAGCGAGATTTTCAGAATTTTTCTCAAAAGTCGGGCCTAAAAATTTGGGCGGAAAGTGGACCATATCGCTCTGAAATCTTGTTTTGCCTCAACCACCGTTGTACAACTTCCTTTCGCAATGTCATACTCGCACTCACGCTTACATTTTGGAGAGAAAAATTCGAATTCGCCCAGAGCAAAAGCTCCCAAAAGCGAGATTTTCAGAGATTTTCTCAAGATTTGACTGAAAAGTGGAAAATAGTTCCAAAAATAACTCAACTGACATGATTGGGAAGAGGAAGACGAAGAGCATTGTGAATACGAGAATACTGAGATGAGTGAGCGGATCAATAAATGGTATGCTTCTATCTATAATTATAACTTTGAGTCGCCAATTCGCATATTTTGACACACTTGGCACGCGCTTGCGTATTTCAACTTGACTACTGCAGCAGCAGAGCGTACTCTGCGTGTCGTGGCCTCTCGTTCGCGCTAGGACCTCTGCGTCCTCCTGACCACACGGTCGCATCATTGCGTCTCTACACAATAAGGCCCCGCTGGGCGATTGGCGTCTATTCAAAACAAACGTTGAAGCATACATGTGGGCGGACCAACCTCGCCGTCGCCTTTTTTCGGAGGGTTTATATTATAGGAGAAGATAAAAATTCAAAGATTGTGGATTTTATCGAAATTTTACCAAAAGCGCATGTGCAACACAAATGAAAATGATATTACGAGGAAATTAGGAAAGATTTCACAGAAATCGGAAAGAGGCCTGATTCAAACATAGTCGTTGCTGCTCACAGAGACTCTAAACTAGAGATACACGCAAGCAGGTTCATCAACAGATGGGCAAAATGTGCAGGCGAATTTGCCACCTTGCGAGGTTTAAAGGCAATGGACAAGCAGAATGAACCCCTGTCAGTTTGGCAGTTTCGAGTAGTAGACCCCCCAAGTACACCGTAGCCCCAGCCCCACCTTCCAATTCATGCGCCAATCCTGAAAAAAGCGTTTCAAAACTCCACCAGCCCGCCCACTTCCATTGAGTTGGCGCTGTTGGCGGAATTTTGAACCGCTTTTTCAGGACATAGCGCGTGAATTGGAAGGTGGGGTTGGGGCTACGGTGTACTTGGGGGGTCTGCTACCCGGAACTACCAACATCTGACAGGGGTCCATTTTGCCCCACCGCCTTTAACTACATCTTTCTCAGTATAACTTTACTGTGGATTTTTAAATGCTAAAATAATAGGATTTTCGTAAACAGTAGGTCCTGTGATCACTATGCACACTTAAATCACGTGCTATGCCTCAACTCAATTGATTTCTTACAGGATGACCTCATAACAGGAACAACTGTTATTCATTGAGAGCGCGGGAGCAACCTTGCAGACATATCCGAGTATGACACTACATCCTTTTCCGATTGTATCCCTGCACTGTGCCATCTGCAGCAAATGAATGTATCGTCAACTCATTTGTAACTCAAAAAAAAGCGTCGCAAATTTCGTGTCTTTTCGGCCAAAACGAAACCTCCTTTGCTTTTCGTGCCAAAAACGATATCCAGCTTGCTTGTAAGCCACCTGTGCCGAGCCATGCTCAGTATGCATACTGCATACCACCTCGTTACGACTTTTAAGATTGAAAGCTACTAATTTCTTAGAAATTCTCCTACACTCTATCCTCTCAGGGACTCGCGCCAGCGACGACCTTACAAACGCTCATTGGTGTGTGCGACTGTACGGTCGTCAAGGGCCGGGTAAGGTGTAGTGCACGTACGGTACTATCGCTCGCCGCTTGTGCGGGGAAGGTGGGCCGCTCGCTCGCTGTTGGGGTGACGAGATACCTTGGTCCTTCTCTTTGAGTATGTTAGTCTTTACATCTGGGAACGTGGAGCGACATTGGCCCAAAAAATTTATGTTGGAAGTTTACACTTACACTCCGACAATGCATAAACAAACCTTCCTCGAGCTCATGGTTAATGAAGATCGCGCTGCTCATACAGACATATCATGACCAGTGGCAGCCTAAATGCTGCGTCGTATAATTTACGCAGGTACCGTTTAGACTCACAGGTGTGACAACTACGAGGAGAAAATAAAGGTCACTGTCGGCCGCTTGTACGACCACGGGTTATGTTGTCCGATCAGACGGGCACATTGCTGGCCGCTCGCTTGAGCAAATGTACTGCCGCCCGATCGCACAGTAACATTGCCTGCCGCTTAAACGGAATTTTCATTGTTCGCCGCACGCACGGAAGCTTTGGGTTTATGTCGACCGTTTGTGCGCTGGTGCCTGTAGGAGGACCGCTCGCAAGGCGCGAATCCCTAAGCTCTCTCAGTTTGATTGTATTGAGTAATAGTACACGCTTTCACAGCTTGTTCCATCAGAAAAAGTACTGGCGAGTTTTTATAGTGTGGTCTTGTCCCGCGCATTGTGCGGGCGCACATATACAGCTGCAAATACCTTGCGCATAAACATCGCAGTCAACGCATCAAATAGCCACTCTGAGCAAATTTTTAAACGGATTCGTACGAAGTGACTTTTCACTGTTACTGCACTCACACGAAGTGCCACTAACAGCGAATGAATGTAAATGTTATCAGCACTGAGTAACCCATCCAGAAAAAATCTAATTTGTGAAAACTAATGTATACCTACCGTATCCCGCAAATTGTGACACATCTATATACTGGAAGATGCGCCTCGCCGATCTGAGTCGAACTGCCTCTTAGATATAGAATTCATAAACTTTGAGTCGAGGTAAGGGTATTTCGACGAATTCTAGAGAAGTTAGGCGGCGGCCGCCTGATGTTAGGTGCCCGCCGTCAAACCTTGTCGCCTAACTTCGGTGACCGCCGCCTGAGTTAAGCAGCCGACGCCAATTTCTTTCACAAATTACGAGCGGTATTGTATATGTACGTACAAAGTAATGTAAAAGCGACATGTCGTGTACAACAAATCCTGCTGAACAGGATTTGTATTCTCTGCTCTACGAAATTTTAGGAGAATGCCTGAAGAAGCAAGTGCAGTATGCCATAAAAAATTCAAAACAGATTGGATGCAAATGCAGGCAACCGTGCAGGTAATTTTGGTGCTTTTCCGTTATTCGGACCCATTTTTCAGATGTTCTTACAAAATACTTGCTTTAGTCTGGAAATTTCATAGATCCTAATGAAGGCTGACTTCCTGCCACGTGTCAAGGTAAAGATTGACACGTTAACTCTCAGATTGACATGTTCTTTTCAAATTCTTCTTCGGCCAGGTACGAGAGCATTGGAAATGACTCAAAAGGGGTACAGTGGTTATTTATAAAAGCAACCAATCAAAAACATATATCAGGTTGGTGCAAAAATAATGGCCATTTTGCAAATTCTCACTTTGACATGCTACTTTCTAAAAAAATCGATATATTCGAATGTGGTAAAAACTTTCAGAAGCAGCACCTTTTGCAATACAACGCACATTGAGCTATACTCACACCATGAACGGGCAGAAAGATATGGACTGAAAAACAAAGACAGTTTTTTCTAAAGCTTTGTTTTTGACAGATCATAACTTCCTTCACAGTCTGTTAATATAAATGTTGAGTTGCCTAGCTTGTAGCCGATGGCTAGTGGGGCAAAAGGAAATGGAAAGGGTTTGGACAAAGAAAATTTGCAAAGAACGAGAAAATTAAAATTGAAAATTGCCAGTTTTTTCATAAAACGCTTACAGAAATGAGCAAAGCTTTGGCGATTGCCTTTTCTAGAAGAAATTTATGGGCACGATGACCAGAACGACCACCCATGTTGATTCGCCGATATCTCGGTCCACATAATTTCTAAGAAAATGCTAAAGTATCTATGATGTAGACAATTTCTTTTGAACGCAGTAACTAAATTTTCGGAGAAGCTCCTTCATTCGGGCTCGAATTCTGGCCAGAAAAGTGATTGCAACGAAAATCTGATTTTGAATGCTGTTATTTGACTCTGTAAGTTTTAACCTTCGGTAGATAGAGCATGAGAAGTTCTTCCTAATGATATGTTGTAGTTATTTCAAAAAAGAAATTTCGATGGAAAAAACTGTCCTGAAAAAGTTTTGGAAATTGGCCATTATATCTGCATCAACTTAATATTAAAACATCTTGAACGCAATGACGCTGGGTGTCAAACTGCGATGCACAGCCGAGAGTATACTTTGGTAGGGCAAGCTGTGAAGGATTTCGACGTTTCCGGTTTTGGCCGGACGCCTAGCTAAGAGCCGGCCTGGCTAGATCCCCCGCTGTCTGGTTTTTCTGCTTGCTAGGCGGTTCTCTCCGCTCCACAGCGGGGCAGCTATCGCCCCGTGGAAATAAAGAGTAGGCCTAGTAAGTCTGCTCTTGTATGGAAAAAAATTTCACTACTCTGCCAGTTAGAAGAATAAAAAGAAACCCCGTACATTGCATCCCACCTACAACCCCGCGTGGTAGCAAGAACGATGTCAGGGTCCTCAGGGCGTCTTTGAATTGAATTGGACAAAAGACACGTCTGCTCGGACGACAAGCCATGCAGATTGCCTCATGCTTTGCCCTACAACAGGACAGGACAGTCTCCACAAACGCCGACCTCCACGCTCTTCTCTTATTGACGCTGCAAAGCACATCAAGTACCACGTTATCGCTCTGCAGGAAACGAAGTCCAAGAAGGACGTGCGGCAGATGAGTGATGGGACCCTCATTGTTCGTGGTGAGAAGGTTCCATCACGAAAAGTTGGAGGCGTTGGCTTGTCCATCTATCGTTCATCTTGTCGATTTGCATGAGATCCATCCACTCAACTAGCCATCCTACGACTACGACCTCCACGTCAGAAGACCATCAGCATCATCAACTACTACTCTCCAACATCAGCAGCTGACGACTTAGAACTACATGTTTTCTACGAAGACGTGGAGGAGTCGTCCGCAACGAGAAGTCCTTCTACACGTATGTTGTGGGCGACTTCAATGCGAAAATCGGGATGCCACTAGAAAAGGAATATAGAATCGGAAAGCTTGGATATGCGCTCGGAGCGAAAACCGCAACCGTCTCGTTGGGCTTCTCACCGCCGCATGACTTTTCCATGGGGGATCCCATCTTCATGGAGAAAGAACATCGCCGGTGGACTTGGGAATCGCCTAACGGAATGACTCACGCGGAGATCGACCACATTCTCACCAACAGAAGGTGGAGCTTGCTCGATGTCTCAGTAGTTCCATCCTTCTGCAGTGTCTCCGATCACCGCCTCCTTCGAGCAAGTATACGATTCAGTCGAAGGCTGGAAAAGAAGGCCTGCCATAGTACCGCAAGAAAGAAGCATGTCATTTATGACGGTAACAGGCTGACAGGGCCCGGCACACGTTGGTTTGGAGTTTTTTGAAAACAACGTCCCCCATAACTCGGCGAAAATTTACGAAGTCCCTTTTCGGATTGGTAAAGAACCCTTTATTAATCAATGTAAAAAAAGCCATTTTGAGGTATCTAGTATAGCAAAAAAGCAAAAGGGAAAAATTCTGAGTTGATCAAAAGCTCTCACTGAGTATGGCACTATTTCGTTGCTCATAATGTCGAAAACCTCCTAGACCAACCAAATTTGTGGCCTCAACAATCTGTCGATGCATTTTTCGCCACACAGGTTGAAGGACACCGCATGTGATTGGAGCGCGATATCTATCAACGCGAGGTTTTACACTATTTTTGGCTCAAAAAAAGAGGAGAGGCAGTGGTTTGATTCGCTCTCCTCACTATGTGATGGATTTGTGAGCGTTCTAATCGACCAAATTAAAAAGGTCCAAAACTTATGTGAACCCTCCAATATTTATGCTCCGAACCAACCCAGTTGGTTTGGTGTTGGTCTAGAAACCAAAAAATTCGGGAACGGATATTAGGACACATAGGTTTTTGGAACTTTTTACATAATATAATTTGGAGTAATATTGTATACACATAGCCCAAATTCGGTGTCATATGGTTGCTGTGCGCTGTAAACAAGCCATTTGTTTGTTTGAGTGTTGCGATGAAAATTAGCGCGCTTGCGAAAGAACACGTACAACTTGTAAAACCTGACATGTTAGTCGTTTTTTTTATCGGCGCTTTCTCCAGGACCTTATAAAAATGATATCTCCGTTGCTTCTAACTTCAAAAACGAAGTCCAATTTGACCCCAGATTATCTGTGCCGGGCATTGGGCTGGAAGAGCTCATATCAAGTAACTGGCCCATCGAGAAGGACCCATCGTTCGACTACGACCGACTTTCAAAAGGATTGCGAGCCTGTGGAGAATGCGCCTCGGTGACTTCTGAAAAGAAGACCTGGAACGCATTTCGAAAACCACCAAGAAATTGCTTGAAAGAAAAAGACTTCTGATGCAGAACCCGAATGCAACTCATCTCGAGCGACTGATAGCCAACGCCAGTTGCAGGACAGCGGGAGGATATCAGAAAGTAGAGCAAGCCAAGATACTGGAAGCAGCCGAAGGAAGACGAAATCTAGAAGTGGCGAAGGAAACTTTGCGAATACCACGTGCCGCTGGCTGCACTGATGAACGAAGAGGGGACTCCGACTTCTTCCCGATAAAAGATGGAATCGATCGCGAAAAACTTCTACACCAACCTCTTCCGCTCATCAACACCCGTGCCAATTCCCGTTGTTCCCACTGGAGCAGTACCACCATGAATTCTACCTGCTGAAGTGCACACGGCGAATCAGACTATGATGACGTCCACGGCTCCAAGACCAGACCATTTCTGCAAGCCGGAGGACAACGTCTGCACGAGATTCTCGTCGCACCTGACATCTTACCTTCAGAAGGAGAGAACCGACCAGTGGAGAACGTCGAGAACCGTCCTTCTCTTCAAGAAGGGTGAACGGGAGGATCCTTGGAACTACCGTCCAATATGCCTGCTGAGTGTGCTGTACAAGCTTTTCAAGAAGATTATCCTCGCTCGCATATCTGGGACAGTGAATGAAGCTCAACCCTAGAACAAGCTGGATTTTGCAAAGGATTCAGCTGCATCCAGAAGACCACATCCAGAAGGTTTCAAGGGTCATAGAAGTCTGCCCGGAGTACCGACTGCCTCTCGTTCTAAGCTCCATCGGCTACGAGAAAGCCTTTGACAGCGTCGAAACGAACCATTTTGTCTGCGCTAGTTGATCAAGAAGTGGACCCAGCTTACGTGAGGACGTTAGCCGAATGCTACGAAGACTGTACAACGACGATGCAGCTGTTCCATCTCTCCATGATCATCTCATTTGGGAAGGGGGTCCGACAAGGCGAAACAACTTCGCCGAAGCTGTTCCCCGCGGCCTTGCAGTGGGTGATGAAATTACTGGACTAGACGGGAGAGGCATACGAGTTGATAGGAGAATCCTGTCAAACCTTCGTTTTGCGGACGACATCGTTTTCTTCTCGGGCAGTATTAATGAGGCAGAGACGATGCTGAAGGAACTAAACGAAGTAGGGAAAAAGATCGGATTGCGTATCAATCGGAAGAAGACTCAGTTTATGAAGAACGCCCTTAAGCGAAGATGAAAATAGAACTGGAAGGCGCTCCTATCATGGAGAAGTCTTCTTACGCGTATCTTGAATGTTCGATGAACATGAAGAACGATTACTTGGGGGAAGAACTTAGCCAAGAAGAGCAGCCTGAGCCGCCTTCTCTGAAGGAAGCCACCGACCGACTGACGGACCCGTAGCTTCGTGCTCACCTGTTCGACTCAACCGTTCTCCCGGCGCTCTTTCACGCAGCTGGGACTTGGGCCGACATGTAGTCACTCGAAAGCTCTATGGACCACCCACAGAGCACACAAACAACACTTGTCGGACTTCGCAATACGGATTTGAGAAGAATGTTCCGTCTTCGTGACCCAGCGGAATATGTAACGAAAGCGAAGCATCGATGAACCGGTCACATCATGAGAAGAACAGACGACAGATGAACACTAAGAACATCGAAGTGGATTCCTCGCAAAGTGAAACGTCCCCGAGGAAGACTTCCAACGAGATGGGCAGACGTGTTCGTGGAATGGATGGACCAGCTGAGAAATTAGCTGGATACGATTTTCGCTCCTAGAACTCGTCGCAGCCACCGACGACGGCCAAGAAGATCGTGGATTTTCGAAGCGAGGATTGGGGAACAATGGAAACTTCTGTACTGAGACCCGGGTGCGGGAACTTACCTACCCGAAAGACTCGCCGCAGCGTACCTTAGGTATTATGAGCAGTCAGATACGCAATTAGCATAGTGTACAGAGCCTAGTCTGTGTGTATTTTAAGCCCCGCCCCCATCCATCGATGCTTTCGCGATGCATCCACCAATCATGAAACCGGGAATTCAATAGAATCACAAAACTGATGTTCAGCAACTATCTGCCTAATTTCGATTGAGGTGCAGATTTGGGGGTTTTCTGAGGTGCTCTTTTCAAATATGCTATTGGTTTTGCTCTGTCTTTTCTTACGCAGCCGAAATTTTACTTTGATGAATTCGACATTTAGCTTAAGAAATCTCGACAAAAAAATAAAGCACGCCTTAGGACGCGTGTATGCTTTTTCACTGTTTTTGTTTCATGTATTGGTTCTATGCCAAAAAGGTTCAATGTGTGGGGGGCTTAGCTTAGCGCTGTATCCTAAGGAGCATATGGAATCAGCGAGCTCGCTATGCTTAATTATACCCCTCAGACATACACCCATGAGGTGCGAGAATATCTCGGGTAGGTAAGCTCCGTTCCCCCTGAGACCCGCACGTCACGTGAGGACGGGCCTTCTACAGTAAGTTTCAACTCAGTTTAGGCGGAAATTGGTCTGGCGGGATTCCGCTTCGCAACGATTCGCGCCGCTTTGCAGTCTGCGTCTCTTCGTTCTAATCTATCTCGCTGAGCTAATGGCGGTGCGGACGCGCTGCTGCACTTTGAATGTTTCGCCTACTCCGAATTGAAAAAGACTGTAAGTATCTAAGTAAGTGAGCGCAATAATTCGTTCAACAATGATTCAAAAGTATTTCTTTGAGATTTTCCTCCATGCGAATTTAGCCGGGAAAGAATATACAGGGTGTCCCAAAAAAATGTGCCTACTGTTTGATTGTAAATAACTTTCTTGTAATGAAGTGTTTCGAGAGGCTTTAGGTACCGTGTAGGGCAAAGTTGAACTTATATTTACAGTATGGAGCGATTCATCTATCGCTCTTCATTACTGTAGGATTACGGTACGAACTTCGACAAGGATTTTAGGCCATTGGTGGCTATTTTTTGCCTCGGATCAGAACCAAACAGGCAACTCTTATACTACGCTAACGGGAGCCGCTGTCCGAATATGAAACTCCCATTTTACTGTGATGCTTCTTTCCAAAGTTATCCCCAGTAAATCGTAATAAATTTAATTCCCAGCATTTGTCAGAAATGTAATTACACCGTCAAAAAAGCTGAAAACACTCGTAAAAAGTAGTTAGGTGGAATCAGGATGCCCAAAAACCCTAATACACGATTTTTCAGATTTTTTGAAAAAAGTTTTGTTAGATGGTATATTTCACATTGATTCCATAGTAGCTTTCATAGCTGGTAGTTAACGTAATCCCACAGTAATGAAGAGCGATTGATTCGCTCTATGCTGTAAATCTAAGTTTAACCTCGCTCTACAGAACGGTACCTAAAGCTTCTCGAAACACTTCATTACAGGAGAGTTATTTACAACCGACATTTTTTTGGGACATCCTTAGATGATGGCTTGAAGCACCTGGGCAGTATGCTTGGGTAAATTCGAAATTTTTCATCGAATGAATGAATATCGAATAAATTCGAAAACGAAAAGTTTCGAATAAACGAATATCGAATAAATTCGAAAATAAAAAACCTCGAATAAACGAATATCGAATGAATTCGAGATTCAGAAATTCTCGAATAAATGGATCTATGTATCTATAAAAATCAAAGTTTGTGCAACTCTGGGCCGTATGCTTTTTTATAGACTCTCTTGCGCGTGAACCGATTGAGCTGAAACTTTGCACACATATGTTTTCGACCCCGTAGATGGTTTTAGGCTACTTTTTGGAGCAATTTGCTGGATCCTTCTATTGATTTATTGATTTCTGGCACTTTGTAATGAAAATGAAGCTTATCAGCCACTATCAAATCCCATGCACATTTTGGTGTAAACAGCAGCAGAGAAGCTCATTCTCATTTTGCGGTCAAAAGGATGCGGTACTTCAAGATGATGCTGCTTTGAGGTAGGCATTTACAATTTAAATGCACCCTGCAGGTGGATATAGGCTGCAGGACCGGAGAAGGAAAGGGGAGGGCAGAAATGCAGCAGATGAAGCGGGATGAAATATGGAAAGCCGTAGGTTTTGAAGCAGAAACATATTATATGCACTCCCCTCTCCCATCTGGCTCCGTGGCTCACAAACCGGGCAAGACCGGGCATGCCAGCTAGTTCCGAAAAACTCGGAAAATCAAAAATATCGATTGAATGAATATCGAATATATTCGAACATTGGAAGTCGAATTTTGAATAAATATTAGAATGATTTATCGAATAACTGGAGCAACCATATCTCAAACTTGCCGACATATCTGAACTCCGTTGAAGTTGGTGACTTTTTCGTCGAATTATGAGAGATAATTTCAATGGCCTCCGAAACTAAATGCAGTAGATCCTGTGACCTCATCGTCCATGCTTTCCTTCTCAAAAGGCTTTCGGTGAAATCTTTTTATTATTTAGAGTCTAGAAGTTAATGTGGCTAAAGCCGATCCATTCATAATCAGCACCCTGGTATCCCCTATACCAACTCTTAGCTCAAAATTTTCCAAAAATCACTGAAATCGGCAAAAAAGATATTGATTTTAATCAGCATCCTCATCCTCATTTACCCCCCCCCCCGGTACCAACTCCCAACCTCGTAGCTCAAGCTTTTTCAAAAATCGACAAAATTGATAAAGTGAATTTTTATCCGTAATCAGCACCCTCAATTACGCCCTTGTACCAATTCCCAGCCCCGTGGCTCAAAATTTTTGATAAAGTTCGAAGGAGTTCAAAGGTCATCACGGTTGCAATAAGATGCATTACCGAATTTTGCGAGAAAAAAGCGCGGACGAATTGAACTTGATACTCAGCAGTTGGCTCTGCAACAAACTCGAATAATCTGAATACGGAGTTCATTCGAATACGAATTCGAATAAACATTCGAATCAAACAATCGAATAAAATCTAATCGAAACCCCTTTTGTTGATTTTTCGAGTTTTTGAATTTTATTCGAATCCTCGTTTTTTGATTATTAGAGTTTTCGAGTTTTATTCGAAACCCTGTTTTTTGATTAAGTTTTATTTGAAACCCCGTTTTCTCAATTATTCGAGATTCGAATATTATTCGAAAATGGAAGAACTCCGAATATCGAATTTTAAATGCTAATCTTTATTTCTTGAACTGCTAGATAAAAGTGAGGTCGATAATGATTGAGAGAGATTGAAGCCAACTGGTATGTAGGCTAGACAGAAGACTTGTTAAGCAGGTAAATGACATCTCATTTTTCTTCACACTTGCAGGATGACAATCCTTTCTGTAAAATTATGACCGTACTTGGTCCAAGAAAAGAAGCAATATTGGTTTTTGAAAAAAAAGTGTCCGGATAACGGGAAAGTACCTTAATTTTTTTCTTCGCAATATGTGGTTCTAATTTCCCATTTTTGCAGCCAAGATGTTTACTCGGTATCCTATTCGGCATCTCGCTGGCCTGCTGTCGGAAAAGGCATTACCTGCCCGAACGGAATGGCGGATAATCATTGTCTGAACTATAAAAGGTAATCATGAATCTCTTCGCTGCTAGTTTGTTCGGTAAATTTGCCTCTTTTAGAAGCTATTAGCATTTGTTTGAGTTTTGAATTCGAAGGAACTCGATTTCACTCTCTAAACACGTTTCGACTGGCGCTGCACATGGTGCATCACTGGGTTTGCAACTGTCTCCTGTTTCCTACACAATCGGTCTCCTTCCGAATAAGAATGCCATTGTAAAGGCGCAGCGTCATTGTTCAAGATACTTTTTTGGCCATTCGTCTTCATCATTCGTCATTCACTTAATTCACTCAGTCGGAGAAATGTCAAAGTAAATCAGTGCAAATCAGTGCGGCGTTGCGAACGTCGCGTGCGACAGAACCTTCGCGTCGTTCATTTTGAGCTGGGAAAGCTGCATTTCCAAGCAAATCCCGCTCGTTGCAGGGCAAAGGAGACTATGTACAAGAGCGATGGGAAAAAAACCTCACCTAATTTGGAGCACGACAACCCTCCCTGTATGGTTGTGGTGGGAAGGTATACGGCGCGATTGTGAAAATCACAGAGATGGCCACATTAGGGACCATGGGAATCATTTAGCTTGCTCTTCGCGTTAATTATGCAAGCAAGCGCTATTTTCTGATATCAAAGTGGGTATATGCTCAACGCATCCTATCTTTGAACCTAATCAAACCTTTAGGGCGCCACCCACTTGAGTCGCGCAAAAAGACTTTTTCAATTACAGCCGAGGTCATAACTATGATCAGAGTGTTAAAGGGCCCCTCCTACGAAGTTTTAAGCAAATCTTAGATTTTTACTCATAAACTGTATACAGGGTCCAGCAAAGATGGTCTGAAGTCAAAATGGACTTCGTTTTAAGGTTAGAAGCAACGGCGATATCGTTTCTATAAGTTCCTGGAAGCGCCGAAAGAAACGACAGACATGTCAGGTTTTACGAGTTGAACGTGTTCTTTCGCAAGCGAGCGAATTTAAAACGCAAAACTCAAACAAACAAATTGTTTGTTTACAGCGCACAAACGATCACATGACACCGAATTTGGGCTACATTTACACAATATTACTACAAACGCGCTCCAATCACATGCGGTGTCCTTTGAACAATGCAGCGAAAGATGCATCGCCAGATTTTTGAGGCCACGGATTTGGTTGAACTAAGAGGCTTTCAGCATTCTGAACACTAAAATAGTACCATACTCAACGACGGAGCCTCTAATCGACTCAGAATGTTAATCTTTTGCATTTTATTATATTAGAGACCTCAAAATGCGCTTTTTCGCTTTTTTATTGTGATCTTGATTGAATAAGGGCCCCTACTGACTTCTACGTCAAAAGGGACTACGTAAAGTTTTGCGAAGTCATGAGGAACTTTGTTCCCAAAAATGCTCCAAACCAATGCGTGCCGGGCCCTGACTATATACCCACTTTAACTACACAGGCGTTATTGTGCGAGAAAGTGTGAGAATCGTGATCGTCATGTCAGAGAACCCCCATGCATTAAATTTGAGAAAAATCTACGGTTTTGAAAATTAAGGCCCAATTTAGGGTCAGGCATATAGCCCCGCTTTGTGACAAGATGTGAGACCATGACTTCAGATATTGAACAATATTGTGGAAGTATGCGTAAGAGAAGTGCGAGACACAACACTTAGCGCAAGTTTTCCATCAATTTAGCCCAAAATTACGCAACTTAAAAAACGGTCCCTTTTGCTACAAATGATGTAGCACGCCAATGTGTTAATGTGAAACGTGCTAATAATCCAAGAAACTTTCAGGGAACAAGGCGCTATGGTAGAGATCTATTTTGAGCAACTGAACTATGAATCATTGCTGGAGAGTGAAGCTTACGGGGTACTAAGACGCAGCCATCAATTTCAATCTCTTAATCTTCCGTTTAGTGGCCCAACCTCCTCTCAGACTTCGGTGGACAACTTGGCTTATGGATGGGTGTCAGTGTTATCACAATTATGGAGGTAAATCGCATACTCAGTGATTTGTTAGTGCAAATTGTGACTCTTCAGGTCTGTATTTTACTCATGGACGTGACTGTTAGTTTGTTGGGTCTAACAACTGGACGGAAGCGCACCTATTCGACAAAGAAGAAAATGATTTCTTCAAATTTTCGATATAAGCCAAAACCGCCAAGCTGAAAATCGTTCATGATATTCATGTAAAAATTCATATGATGGAACTTGAACGCATTCAAAATGCCTTGGAGAGCGGATTCTTTACATCATATTAGTTTTCTCTTGTTTTCACACCAAGATTTAATTCGATAAGTCATCAGTTCAACGGGAAATGAGTATGCTAATTCATTTTATTGCTGTTGGTATTAGTCTTTGAAGGTACCATACAAATTTGAGGTTAATGAGATTTTGCTGCAGTACAACAGCAAGGCGGTTAACCAAGTATTGCCCACGTCTCGTTGCAAATGGTTTATCCCAAAGTAAAAAATCGCTCCTCGAGGTGGAAGCTGCTGGGGTCGCCACGCCCACCAACATGATGATTTGCATGCGACATCAGCAACATCCACTTTCAGCAGCAAATTTCTCGCTTTGGAATATACATTTTGCAGTGAGACTTAGGCAATTTCTTAATTAGGGCACCTACCTCAAATTTGTATGGACATGTATTTGGTATGCATTGAATTGCCTTTTTACCGGCATGTTTTCCGTCGTAATTGATCTCTTCCTTTCTTTCCCCTACAACTAATTGCTCCCATGGACGAAAACATGGAAATTTCATTCAATCGTAAGTCAAATGCTCAAAAAATGTATTTCAACAACAGTATTTTAAGAAAAGCTTCGTCCAAAAGTGTCACAATTTCAAGTTTTACTGGAAGTATATTTGTTATTGTTTTCGCTTATGATACATTGATTTTTTATTTTTGTTGTTTTCTACTTTCAAAGCGGATAGTAAAGTTGTTAGCTTGCTCATTTATCTATTTTTGGCTCTAGAAACACTCATGTATGCTATTTGGGCATGCTTTGTACCTTCCAAGTATCTTCCACTTCTCTCTATAATTATTACCCAATATGAAATATGTATTTGGCAAGTTCCCGATTTCGATTCTGTAATATCATCATGTGCATAAGCTCTGTATCTTTGCATCACTGTAGCTGAATATTTTATTTTCACTGTATTTTGGCCATTATTTTTTGCTATAGTGTACTGTATAAATAAATAAGATTTGATGCTGCACAATTTCTACGAAGAATACTATCTAAAAGAATGACTCAGGAATTTTTTTTTCTTCAAAAAAAGAAAAATACGACGATCCGGTTCTTACGATGGCATGACACTCTGTGCACCGATCACAGATCCGCTTGAAATTGAGAAAAAACGCTAAATATTTTCTAAACATGTTATTTTGTTGCCCACCAACGAGATCGGTAAGCGGCAAAGGGGCGCGAGGGGCTCGTTAGCCGTGGAGCGCGCCAACCCCTCAGCCGCAACTCGCAGTCAACAGTGTTGTACCAATTTTTTGCTTCTTTTTTGTAATTTGTTTTCAACGAGATATCGCAGGAATACTTTAACAGTATGAGTATGTAATCTAGTACTTTCTGCCCCAGCATTGTTCTGTACAGTCTGCCCCAATCGGGATCAGGCCGAAGCGTCGGCGTGAATTTTCGCGCTCGCAGCGCTAGCGGTCTGCGCTGCATATGCGCGCTGTTGGAGAGAGCCAAAGGACTGAAGAGAGGGCAGAGAAGCAGGCCGTGGGCGTGACCGCGAAACCTTAGCGACGCGGACTCCCGCCATGCCAATTTTGGCCTGGTTAGGATTGGGGCTGTATACTGACTAGTCTGATCTACTCATGATATAGCGCACTTTATTAGTGGTAGACTTTTTGTGTCACCAAATTAAAGGCAGTGTCCGGGCAAAATGGGGGTTCTGAGAATTCTCTGCCATGTGAAAGTAGCCCCCCTGAGACACAACATCGCGCAACTGCGAGCATAAAACGTTCGACCTAAAGCAAGAAAAACGATTGCAAATTGGGGAAACTTACGCCTTGGGGCGGGGTCCTCCGAGCTGTTTTAATTCCTGCCAGACGGCAGAGTACGTATGCCGCCACAGTTAAAAACCGTGCGCTCTTTGCAACCTCTGCGTCTTAGCCCGGCGGGGATCAACAAAATTTCGAAATGTGAGGACTTGGAAAGTGCATGTTCTCGCCGTTTTTGCGCCTTCTGATGTGGATTTTCGGATTCAGCGTTGCGGATAATCCCAGATAAGTTGATTTTTTAGAAGTCGAGTTTCTGCCCGGACACTGCCTTTAATGCCCTTTATCCACCCAACCCTGTGTCATCAGCGACCAAGTAGTTTTGACTTTTGGGTTTGCGAATCGACTGGGTCTAGTTTAGCTTGGTGGCTTTTATATTGTTACGGGACTCCGTGGGTTAAACTAGTAGGTTCAACACACTGAGTTCAATAAAGATCTTTTCGGTCAATTCTTCCATTCCGATCGTTAATGAATACCGCTAAGAAGACTGGAAGCAGAGCAACTAAGCAAGGGTTGAGGAGCTAGATCAGCCTGCGCTTTGAAAAGTCGGTACTATCCAAAGCATGGTTTCTGAACTGCGCGCTCTGGTGATGGTCAACTTCAACCAAGTAATCGTTATTCTAACTCCTCGTGACATGCGACTCATTCCCTAGACTGAGAGTTTTCTCCAGCTATCTTGGCTGCTAAACGATGCAGTGCGGACAACGTTTCATTTTTGTCATAATCTCTTTCCTCGTCACTCACTCGACCTGCTTTGCTTTCGCACTTCTCTTCTCAGCACTACAGGTCTCGAAGATATATTTTAAGGGAAGGCTTTTTTGGGTTCACTAGTATGGATTTCAGTAAGAGAGTCGTGCATATCGAGAATATGAACTTGTGCACTCTTATACTGGACAAAGTTAGGGCTAGCATTGGTATATGATGTCACACCATTTGTAGAATGCCCAATGATCTAGGTCAGATGGCAAGCGAAACCGCAAGTGCAAGCTGAATGTAGCCATCCTAGCTTGTACAAGACATAGCATTGGTCGGGAAACTCCAAAAACATTGTTCCTCGACGGAAACAGACAATGCGCCACTTATGGGTGAGGATTGCGCTGGCGCGCTACACGGCTAACGATTCCCTCAACGTTTGCCGCTTACCGGATCTCGCCCACTAGCTGGTTTACTCGGCTCCGCTCGGCCCTGTCAAAACGCTATGATAAAGCTCCCATCCCTATCCCTGTACAATCATTCCCTGTGCCCACTTCTACTACCCACCCCAACTCCCTATTCCCGCTGTATTAGTTATCAGCATGCTCACTTATCCCTGTGCGAGTTCCCAGCCCCGTAACTCAAAATTTACAAAAAAATCGATAAAATTGGAAAAAGTGACGGGTAAATTCAAAAACTAATATTGTATTTGCAATCAGCATGCTCGATTACCCCCCCCCCCTGTGCCAACTCCCAGCCCCGCAGGTCAAACTTTACAAAAAGTCGATAAATATCGATAAAATCGACATCGATCGATGACGGAAAGTAGCCTAGGACACCCGCCCGGCCTCGAAGTGTATGCGTGCCAAGTTTGGTCCGGATCGGTACAGAAATAGAATTTTCTACTCGGAACATACGTACACACAGACAGACATAGAGACAGACATAGATACAGGGCTCCTAAATTGCAGAGTCGTTTTCACCAGCGTCGCGCCCGGGCATTTTGCCGGCGCCGGCGCCATCGATCGAGGCGGCGCCATCGATGCCCGGGCGCGACGCGGTCGCGCGACCGCTGGGCAAACGAATCTGCAATTTAGGAGCCCTGTACATACAAACAGACATTCAGCTTTATATATAAAATTCTTTTCATCCTTTGATACACCGTCAATCGACCATATTCTTGATAGCTGCAGAAAATATCGTATGCAGATACAAACTCATGCTTGAAAGACCCATTTGTAGAACTCCCAAACACCTCGCGCGAGCTCCGCCCATAGAATTGCATAACATAATCATCAAAAGTCTGCTTATACTTTTCCTTTCAGCGAGCGCAATGAGATTTCCTATACAGCAAACGCAATGAATTTTCTCACATGCAGAACAGTCCGATTAACACGCTGCGCTGCCTATAATATAGCATTTTGATTTCGCATTGAACATAAAATGAAAATAATATAAGTTACGGCACCGGCTCCAACTATGAAAGGGAGTGAGAATGCTTCACGCATAACCACAGCTAATGTAGCGTAGTCGTTCATTTTTGTCATTTCATGCATGAAAGCGATTAGGTCTCGGTGATTGCGAGGGATCTTTCTCCTTCCAAACGCTTTCCTGCTATAATATGTTAGGTTCGATTGTTTGCTGAGGCCTTGCGGCATCCTGCATGGGCCGTGGTCGCAAACTCACCGACTCCCGCCACTACGCAGAGCCCTACACCGAGCAACTACTCCTCACTAGTTTTCCTTTTCATCCTGCCTCAACATTTCTTTTTTCCATACTCGCGGAACTTACCTAGCCAGGCCTAGAGTTTCCCCTCCCCTTGTGTTCTGAATCCAAAGCGGTGCGAGTTCCTTTTTTTTCATAGTAGTAACAGTTCTATCTCCCAAGTTTTTGTAGTCGAAGAACCAACACCTCGACTTTCAAGATGTCCCACACAAGTGATCCGAGTTCGGCTATTCCAATCTTTATCGCCATATGGCAAGTTCCCTTTTTTGATATTCACGTCATTCCTCCGATTGAGTAGCGATTTTCACAATATAACCTGCTGAATGTGGTAAATCTGTGAAAATCTTATTTTAGGCAATGTACAGTGCCCATTTAGGTGGTCAAGTCTCACAAAAATGAAACCTTTACTTTCTTCATTCTTCAAAAGCAGGCAAAATATGCCTCCTTTGCCTTTTCCTTTTGGCATAGGGAAGCTTGACTTTTCTCGTCACCTAACGCCTAGCTCCAATCTCGCTTGCGAATGCTTTGCTTTCAAGTTTGTTATAGGCACAGAATGACCACCCTTGCAAATTTTTGCTGCTTGTTTTAGGGAGAAAGGGCAAATAGAAATACTTTGTAATTTCTGCCTCTATCTTTTAAGACAAGAAATTTCTAGAATGAACAAAGCTCTAGTAAAGGGCTTTGTGAGTAAGTAGAGCAGAAGGGCTTCCGGGCAGACGTCCAAGCCTCGAGGATCACGCCGACTTCGCACGGCCAACCCCCTTGAAGAAAATGTCCTCAGGCCTTGACGTGTTTTCACATGGCAAGCTCGGTCGAACACATAGCGTTTACCTGTTAATACTTGTTTTCGACAAGGATAGCATCAGAAGCGCTCGTCCGGGTTTTCCCAAAATAGCCCCAAAAAGGTGGTTTTTTGAAGAATCCACGCTTTTGCGTGCCATAATTGGAATCAGCGCCATGAAAAGGCCTGGAACATAAAGATGTGGAAGTCGAGAATCTGCCTGGATGCTGCCTTCAAATCTATATGTGTTTAAAATCTAGAGCAGATTTGTGAGCCGCGATTTGATGCTGAAAAGGAGCATGCAAAAAATGTTTATAGAGCCAGCTCTTCAAGGAGTTGCAGAGCCCCAAGCAAGAGC